TATATATATATATGCACAATGGAACAGAAACTTAGAGGCAAAGTCTACAGATTCTCACTGGTAACTAAAAGCAGGAAGAAGTCTGGCACCTCTGTCTTCATTTTTCTCTTTATCACCTTAAACTGTGGCACAGGTCCCTGCTCCTGCTTGCACAGAGGCATGCTAATCACTCAGGGAAGTATTACAAGGCCTAGTAACCTTAAATTTACCCAGTCTATCTCATCCCCTTTCAACAGTAAGCTTACCAACATCAGAATAATTAAAGTAATTTTTGGGATTTGCAGGGACATTTAATTGCCAGCTGTTCCACACACCCTGCAGCACAGCCTGCAAGACTCGAGTCACTGCCCTAAACCTGCAGCCACCTCACACTCCAGTCACTCTAAAAGTAAAGTCTCACAGACTACCCCATAGTGAGGCTACCACTTAAGCAGAAGCAGTTGCCACAGGATAGGAAATGGGCCTGTCCAAAGTCATGTGGTCAGCTCAAGGCAAACTGAATTGCCCCCTATAACAAAGCTCTCTCCCCCAGGACTTCAGAGAACCAGTCCTGAGAGGCCATCAATCCAGCCAGAACTTGACCAGGACAGCTTAAACTGTCAGCAAAAGTCTCCAGCTCTGCAACCCCCACCTTTGTCTTTGTTCCTTTGTTATATTCCCCCTGCCACTCCAAACCTCCATCAGCCACTCTGAGAAAGACTTTGAGCCGCGATCTGTACCTCCTCTCATGGCCACGCTGACTAAGGCCATTTCCTGTCCTGCATCACTGCTGGTCTCCTTGAGTGGTGTTTTGGGAAGAATGGCAAGCTCAGTCTGTTGGGCTCCTCAGAGTAGGGTGATAACACTATTTTTAACATATATCAACTGGCTTATGTTCACAACATAAGAGAAAAATAGCTACTTACCAGCCAACACATGGATCTCAATTTTGTAAAACTACACATGAATGTTGGTGGGGAGTATACAGGCACAGAGAATGATACTGAGCTAGTCATTTGAGAGATGCAAATTAAGATAACACTGAGATTCCATCTCACCCTGGAAAGAACAGGACTTCATCATTAAAAATTCAACCAATAGCAAATTCTGGAAGGGCTGTTGGGAGAAAGGAACCTTTCTCCACTGTTGGTGGGAGTGCAGACTGCTGTAATCACTGTGGAAATCAGCGTGGACCTTTCTCTAAAAACTAGGATTGGAGGTCCTATTTAACTCAGCTATTCCCTTCCTGGGTACTTTCCCAGTACCCAGTAGAATTAAGAACATCATACCACTGTGATATATGTGCATACATATTTGCAGCAGCATAATTTTAATAGTTAGATCTTGGGTACAATCCAAATGCCCATCACCTGAGGAATGGATAAAAAAAATACCGTCTTTTCAATACAATAGAATAGTACTCAGCTATAAAGAAGGATAAACGGAAGACTTTTATAGGTAAATGAGTGAAACTGGGGACCATATTCATAAGTGAAATAAGCCACACTCACATGTGCAAGCACTGTAATTTCTCCCTACTGTGAGAAGCTGAAAGAGTAAATAAGATCCAAAATGCACAACAGATACTGTAAAATGGGAAGAAGGTGTTCAAAAGGAAAAAGAAACTGTGATGGGGGAAAGGGGAAAAGAAGGAAGGGAAAACTATATGATAGACAAGATATTTATGCTGCTAATTTCTCTTAGTTCATGAAAAGAAAGGTTTGCATTAATATTGTTTGGACAATTAAATGCTTCTATCTTGTACTCTTGAGTATTTAAAGATAACAATATGCAAAGTATTAACCATCATTACTCTTCTATTATCTTGTTTTGAAACTTTTTTTTTTTCTATTTACAATAAAAAATGCATTAGTTAATAGAGGAGCTACGGACTGGGGAGACAGCTCAGTAGAATAAGCATGTGCCTGGCATGCACAAGGTACTGAGTTAAATCCCTGGTACCACAAAATAAATAGATAAATAGATAAATAAATAAATAAATAAATAACATTAAATGAAGCTGAACTGATGGCATAACCTCCAGAACATATTTCTTTTATTTTATTAAGCTATGTCCTCAAACGATTTTATTACTTATGGCAGGCAATAATTAGAAAGCCTGACAGACCCTAAGTTCTTTCAGATATCCAAAATGGCTGATAAGCATGGAATTTTCATCCTTACTTCTAAGATCCTGACCATACTTAGTTAGGAAAGCAACGCACAAAGCACAACATTGGCAATTACTGGCATCTGGTGTGTCACTTAGCAAATCTTTAGCATTATTTAAACAATTTATGAAATTCTCATCATTTTTCCCACCCCACTCCCATAAAAAAGCAGAGGAAGAAACTTTAGTGATCGACAGAAAATAAAGAATATCAAAATTGTAATTTATCTTTCAGTTCTTTAGTAAAATGAGAAAAAGACAGTAAGGCTGTCTAGTGTTACTAACACATATAAACCAGAAAAATTAGACTAAAATATGAATGGTGAAGAAAACGATTACTTTACACAGTGAAAGGATCAGATTGGAATAACCTTCAATTAATGAACAACAACAACAAAACAACAGAGGGTTCTAATCAAAGCTCTCTTATCTAATTAAAACTGTGAAACCAAAACAATCCAATGGCAATCAGAGTATCAGGGTGCTAGAACAAGTTTCCTCAACTGCTGGGTCTCACGCAATTTTTACCCTAATGGAGAGGGATAATTTATTATGCAGAAATAAAAGCAATCCCAAATGCTGCTCCAGTGTGAATCACCTACCAGATGGTAATTTATTTTCCAACTTCCCATTTTCTTCTTGTGCTGGAAAGTCCTCAGAAACCTCTGTGGTTTTTATCTCTCTTCTCTGCCGTATGTACATCATGATGTCAAAGACTTACATGCATTGTTCTTCCAACCACACCTACAAACATAGGACACAGTAAACAGGCTGTCTACCATGACATCCTGCCCATGATACACCTGCTCACTTGTGTCACCTCTCATTTTCCCATCCAAATCTTTCATCAGCCAAAGTGTACTCAAGATACAACACAAACATTGGACTCGATCATATTTTTGAAGCACCTTTTTTCTAGCAGGCACTGTCAGATACGGTCAGCTGAACAAACAAGCCCTTACTCCTTTTCATGGATGCTATCGCAGATGCTCCAACCCTTGTGGTCTCCTCTCATAAGCCCTAGCACTTATCACGCAATTTGCTGGATAATTACAGTTGTATATTATTTTCTACAGTTCCCTATGCAGACGCAGGTCTTCAAATTTTCCAGGGAACTGACCACGTGGGAGGGATTCAGTAGATTTACCGACAGATTTTGAAGAACTGAAATACTGTTCTTGTTCAGGTACCTGAATTTTAATACCTGTGTTCTTTAAAGCAATTCACACTGCCAGCTTTATGCCTGGGTGGTGATGACAGCGGGTGTGTGCGTGTGCCAATCAGGGCAGCTGCTATCCCAGGGAGTAGTAGTGGGAGTACAGGCAGGGTGCAGTGCCTAGTTTGGAAGCTGCAAGTGGGAGGCGGGGGTGTGGTAGCAGTGAGTAAGCTAATTCTGTCCCCCGGAACATCTTGCCTCACTCCTCTGAACAGAATAGCGTTTTACTAATTATTTATTAAATATAATCAGTTGCCTGGTGTGATTGCTTCGACAGTTTATTAATCCCTAAACAACGTGCCGTGTAGAATAGAACAATCAAGCTACATGACACAATGTTTATTCATTCAATCATTCAAAGAGGAAAGAGACTTGAAGGCTGAGAAGAGTTTTAAACGCTGTGCCTTCAAAGCACTGGAGGCGGAGAGGCTGTAGCAGTTAAGGAAAAAAGCAATGTTAGCAAAGCGGTCCAGCCAGAGACCAGTTGATGCCCCCAAAGACCTAATGATCCTAGCGCCATGCATTCTCTAAGGGGAAAAAGAGTTTTAAAGACCCCACAATGCGTAAATTCTAACAGGTTAAAACAGAAGTCAGCAAATAGCAAAAGTGTAAATTAAGTATCTAGACTGCAGTAGTCTCAGGAACTCTGAAACAAAAGTTCCTCGGGCAAATGAAAAGGAATACCACCTGACACATCTGCAAAGGGACCTGCAAGCGATCCTTTATTAATGAGGCTGTCTAGTACAGTCGTGCGCATCCCTCGGGCGCGGCAGGGCTCCGAGCTCCGCGGTCCAGCTCTGCGCACCCGGTCACCCGCCGCGGTCCCATCTTTGGGCGCCGGTAGGGAGACGGGCAGCCGGGGAAGTTCGGACATTGGACATTGGTTCGCCAGGACCGCGAGCGGCGGCCGCGGAGGTCCGAGCCCACGCCCTCCCTCCGCCCGCGCGGCCGGCTGCGGAGAGAGCGCTCTGTAAAGTTGCCCACTCCCGAGTTCCAGCCCGGCCCGCGATCCGCACGCTCCACTCCCTCTGGACGCCGCGAGGGCCACGGCCGCGCCTCCCGGACCAGACTACGCGCGGGGCGGGGCGGGGCGGGATGGGGCGGGGCAGCCCGAGGAGCAGTCGGCGGTCGCCTCCAGCGGGACGCAGCAGGCGTCCGCGCGCTCCGCGACCTCGGGGCCCCGGCGCCCGCGTTTCCCCGACATGGAGCCACAGACCTGCGGCCTCAGCAGTCCTCACGAGCAGCTCTGGGCGGGGAAAGGACAGCCGGGCCAGGAGGCGTTGAGAACTGCGGGGGCGGGGCCGCACTAGGCCCGCAGCACGCGGCGGGGGAAGGAAGGACCAGGCTGCTGCGGAGCTATATGCAACACCTTGCGATGGGGGGCTTAGGGGGCGTCTACAGCTCCAAGAAGGGGCGCGCTGAGGAGGCCGGCCCGCCGCAGCTGCATCCATAGGCTGACGGAGCTGTCTGTCAACACGAGCCTCCGCCCTCTTCCGCGCCGCCCCGCCCCGTCTCGTGCGGCGCCGACCGGAAGGAAGTGGTGCACTTCCGGCCTTCGGGCTGGTCCAGACTGCTGGCTACTTGGAAGCCTCGGGGCAGTTTCCGCGGTTAGTGGGTCACGGAGTCTGCCTTCACCTACATAGATGAGGCCATGCCGGTAGCCCTATAGCCCTAGGGCTGTGGTTTGGGGAAGAGGGGCACGTCTGCTAGGAGGAAGAGTGGTCTTGGGTCGACAGCCTGGAACAGCGGCTTCACTATGGTTCAGGCTTGAGAGCTACGCGTGCCTGGGAGCCACTGACGGAGTTCTTGCGGCTGCGGTGTGGGCTGTTCAAAAACTCTGCCGGGCTTGGTGGTACATGCCTAAAATCTCAGCACTCGGAAAGCTGAGGTAGGATTGCCACGAGTTCGAGTGCAGCCTAGACTACATAGTTCAAAACCAGCCAGGACCACACAGCCGAGCCCCCATTTAAAAACAGAAAAAGAAAAAAAAACCTAACCAAACCAAACAAAAAAAAATCTTTTCCTGCCAACCCCCTCCTGTGCCTCCTGTGCTCCTGTACCGCTGGATGTGAAAGGTTCCGGAAGGGAAGGTATGAACGGCCCAGCAGGTAGCGCGCCCCCTCCCCGGGTCTTGACATCATCTCCCTTCCCACAACCCCCGGTTTCCTCCATCTGTGCTTAGACGGATTAGCACTTGTGCATCCCCAGACACCCTCTTCGCGTGATGGTGCCCCCGGTACTGTTTTCCTGTTAGTTTCTTCCAAATTAGGCGCTAGTGTTGAATCTCCTGTGTTACTCGTCCTCAAGATTGTGAGCCCTTTTTGAGCGTGCATATTGTGCTTTATACCAAGATATTTTTCTTAACACTGTGAAAAATGTAAAACCTTTTACTTGACACATAATTATATATTAAATACATATGATACAGGTAATGTACTATATATACGATATATACATTTTGTATTACATAATGTAGCACAAATATATACATTATGGTAGTACAATAAATATGTACTATGTAAATGGTATAGATGTAATATATACATTAGGTTATGAATTTTATATATTGTACATACTATATACATTATATATGATACCCGTGAAAAGGCAGCTCATCGGTCTAATTTCAACATGAAATGACTTCGCCTAGGAATTTTTCCCTAGTCACTCCTGCCTGCTAATATTTTTCTCCTCCTTTATGTGTCCGCTGCTCTTAATAGCAAACTGTTCTGTGCGAACAGACTGAGGTATCTGCTGGGTTAGCTTTAATACCAATGCCAGCTGTTTTTTCCGATAATATTCACCATGCTTCATCATGGCTGTTGGTGTATTTTCGAGTATGGACTTAAATAGGCCTTACATTAAACATACTTAATGAAAATATGTGAATTTATTTACTGGATGGGGCTTTTTTCCTTAAATTGACACAGCTCTGGGGAAAGATGTGACTGTGGTGAAACACTCATCCCCTGAGTAAAAGAAATAGTACTTATCAGCTGCTGCTTGCTTTACTGTTATGAAATGGCTATACTAAGCAAGATAAAGCTTTGGGACTTCATAAGAGGCAGGCACTCAACTGCTGAGAGGCTTGGGAAGGAATAAGCTAGTTTAAGCAGGAGTCTGAGGTCTGAAACAGTGGCCCTGGGGGTAATGGATGATAAATACATGTCCTGGCTTTCTTCTGGCCAGGTAAGCACGTGGTCAGGGAGAGAGCAACCCTTAAAACTGGTGAGGGACAAGATTCCCCTGTTGTATGGCAATACTTCTTGTCTGCAATGTATTTGGAAGCGCAAATGGCCTCCTGGCTGTTTCTCTGCTGGAGTCTGCAGTTAAGCTGTGATCCGAGGCTCTGGCTCAGGACTAGCACCATTCCCTGGGAGCTTGTGAGAACTGCATGTGATGAGGTCCTGTCCAGGCCTACTGAAGAAGGATCTGTGAGGGCGGCGGCCCACTCATCTGTTGGAAGAAACTCTCCAGGGGGTTAGTCATTAAATTCGAGGACAGCAGAAGCACATGGCTGGCAGACTAGCCGCACGGGTGTCACATAGGACCAGAGAGAGGCTCACTGTCAGGTTCTAGGCAAGACCTACAGGGGCAGAAGCTGCAGCTTAATAGGATCCCTAGATGACGGTGTACGCATCAGTTTAATAAGCATGTACCAGAAGACGTCAGTGGTATTCATCACATCCGTCCTGCAGAATCATCTTGCATTTGGCGCCATGGGTGAGAGCTCACTTATTTCATTAGCTTTTTTCTTATTTGATACACAGTATTCAATTTATAATCGCTTGACTCAGTGTGGTACTCCTGATCTTGTCTTCTGTGACTACACTGTCTGGGCATTTTTTTCATTTACCTTTCTGGCATTTTTTTTTTTTTTCCATCTCTTGCAGCTTGTCTTTTAAAATATTAGCAATTGTTTATTCATTTGCCCATGGCTTTCATTTTCACTGATGAAGTAAGTCCTAAGGTTTTACATCTAAACACATCTACTGACCTCTAGGTCTTGTGTCTGCTGCCTGTTAGACATTTCTGTTTGCAAACACTTCAAACTCAGCCTGTTAAAAATTAAGATTTTTGCCAGGCGTGATGGTGCACGCCTGTAATCCCAGCACTTGGGAGGCTGAGGAGGAGGATTGCTACCATGGTTCCCTGTGCCTGCCCAAGCTTGCCTGAGCAGGTGCTTTGGATCACTGAGCTATCTCGCCGGCCCCAATTGAGCTTTTTAAAGACTCCTCAAATCCCCAAACCTGTTTTTCCTTTTAGATGTCTCATTTATGTAATTGTTTAAGTAAAAAATGTAGGAATGAGTTTTGTTTCCTCCCTACTGTGTGCTCCCATATATCCAGTCAACTGAATTGGACAAGAACTGAGTCAAATTCAGTGGTTCGGGTCATTGTGACTTTATAGGGAGATTTGATTTTGTTCTTGTCAAATTCAATTTGTGACCAGAATTGTGGAAAGAATTACGTTCATGGATCAAATATATCCTTTGGTGCTTAAAGGTTTTAGTATTGTTGTTGTTATTACTATCATTTTGTACCAGGGATTGAACTCAGGCCCTTGGGCTGGCCAGGCAGGCGCTTATGCCACAGAGCTGTTTTTCACTTTATTGTTTAGTACTGTGGGCTAACCCCAGGGCCTTTATACCTAGCTACATTCCCAGCCCTTTTTTATTTTAAGACAGGGCCTGGCTAAGTTGCCTAGGAGGCCTCACACTTGAAATCCTCCTTCATGCCCCAACCTCTCCGAGTGTTAGAATTACAGGTATGCCCTGCCATGCCTGGCTTATTAAGCTATTTAACTTTTAATAGCTTAGTAATTCCTTGAGTTTGCAAGGACTGACTCAAATCAAGATCTGTTTGCCTTTCTGGCCTCATCTCTACTTCTTAAAAGTCGGAAATTTCTTCCAAAGTTTTGCTGCATGACTTTGTGATTCTTTCTGTATTCAGTTTAATTTACAAACTAGTCAGCCTTTAGATGTCAGCTTGTGATTGTTGTTGTTTGTTGTCTCTATCCTTGTATAGCCCTGTCACTGAATCATTGCTGTTCTGTGTGACCAAGAGAATAATATGGAAGTGGCAGGGTGGGACATCTGTGGGTAGGTCATGTGAGACATCCCCATTTCAGCTTCAGGTTCTCTAGATTACACACGTAGGGAGGATGCCAGCTACCATACTGTGAAGACTCTTCAGTAGCCAGTGGGGAAGGCTGAGTGGGCACTACCTGTCTTCTGGCCAGCCACTTTGCCAGCCACAGAGTAGGCTATCTTGGAGGGAGATTGGCAAGCTCCAAGTCAGCTTTAGCTGATGTCAAGAGAGATGAGGAGCTAGAACTGCCTGCCTACGTTAATTCCAAATATCTGCCATATAGAAACCATGAAGCTAATAAATCACTAAATTTTGGGGTAATTCTATTACACAATACAATAGTAGTTAACCATTGCAGTAATAATCACTCATGTAGATGTCTTTATTATTTATTCTTACCTAATTGGACAAGATTGATTTTATGTTTTTTTAAGCATAATGTAAAAAATAAGGATATATAATTCTGTAAGAAATGTTTCTAGAGATAGGCGTGCTAGAACACATACTCTAAGGTGATAAACATTGGCAAACTGTATTCCAAAAAGGTTATTCAGTTTATCTTAAAATTACCAATAATGTGCATTGTAATCCTTATTCTTCTATGCCTTTGTAAACAATAAACTTCCTTAACCTTTGCCAATCATAAGTGGTAAGTAGTGTATCCGTATATGCTCTTCTTTATTAATGAGATGGAGGCAATAATATTAGGGGCTTACTAGGTCTTTATTTTTCTGTGATTTATTTTTTCATGTTCTTTGAAATTAAATTTTGACACGAAGGGATTATTTTTAGGCTGTGGGGATGTATTAAGCTTTGCCATATATGTTGCAGGTAGTCTCATTACTGTGTATCTGTTATGGCGTCTTTTTTTTTTTTTTTTTTTTCAGAGCTGGGGATTGAACTCAGGCCCTTGCACTTGCCAGGCAAGCTCTTATTCTACTGAGCCATCTCCCCAGCTCTATATGGTGTCTTTTATATGCAGGGAATTTTCACTTTTATATTGTGAAAGCTATTTTCTGTATAGTTTCTAGGTTTTTCCATTGCGATTCCTCAAGACCAAATATTTTTTATATTCTAACACTGGAAACATTGGAACTTGGAAAATGTATCTTTTTGCAATCTGACGCAATGTTTTTCTAGCTGGATGGCTGATTATGTCATCATCCTTATCCTACTTACTT